GCGTGATGCCATGGCACTCTACCCAGGGGGATAGCTTGAGGCTCTGTCTCAAAAAAAAAAAAAAAAAAAGAGTGCCCTTCTCTACCTTCTTTGCCTACTTAATCATATTTATCCCTTAAAATTCTCTCAAGCATCACCATTCCCCTTCAACCCTATGTCTGATTCTGATCTTTCATTTTATTGATTGAGCACCACAGAAAGTTAAGTTTCTTGATGATAACAATTCCTTTGATTTTTGTATGCCCAAAGTCTAGGTCAGTACCTGGCACATAGTACACTGGCCCATCTTAGGGTCTTTCTGGTACTCACCATTTTGGCTTGAAGATCAAGCAGTTTTCTTACACGAAATGCTTTGACTAGAAAAGACAAAGAAAAAAGATACTATACGTTTGGTTCAGAATAAAAAGAAAGTGGTTATACTTAACCACCTTGTAGTTCATATAGTTTCTTCCTACATCAAGAATATGAACACCCTGGTTCAGTTAAGCCAGTAAGTAGATGTTCTTAAATAAAAGTACTAAAAAGCAATTTCCACAAAATGAGTCCTATCATATAACTAATGCCAATAGTTATTTAACTTTCTACAGGCCAATACAAATGTTAATTCCACAAAGTCAACATAATACAAGTAGAATGATAATACTCACCATTCTCTTTTTTGGTAAGTAAATATAACAAATGGCAGACATAAGGGCACTGTTAAAATATAAAAAATTTAAAGAGAATGACAATGTATCTTGAACAGAACAGTAACACTCTTTCCCCAAATGTCAATTTTACACTGATTAAGTACAAAGGCTTCAGGACTTCATTGACAATAGTTTACAAAGCTTCTTTTCTTCACACTACATAATAGTGATAAAACCAATTGTTTTTTTCTTCAAAGAGTCAGGTTTTCACTCTGTTGTCCAGGCTGGAGTGCAGTGGCACAATCATAACTCACTGTAACTTTCAACTCCTGGACTCAAGTGATCCTCCCACCTCACCCGCCCTCGTAGCTAAGACTACAGGTGTATGCTAACATGGCTGATTAATTCCTTTTACCCCAATAAATTTTATTTTTTTCATAGAGACAGGGTCTCAATATGATACCCAGGCTGGTCTACAACTTCGGCTCAAGTGATCCTCCTGTCCCAACCTCCCAAACCCCTGGAATTACAGGCATGAGCCACTTCGCTTGACCAATACAAACAACAGTTTTAATTGATATTCCATTACATCATTTTTTACCTATTTTTGGAATGTAAAAACACTGCAGACAATTTAAAAAAACAGAAAAGAATTACCCATCATCCTTCTACCTAACAAAAATTCATATATTCCTTTCAGTATTAGTCTACATTAATGAAGATACAAACCAAAAACATTTTTTTTTTTTAGACGGAGCCTCAAGCTATCCCCCTGGGTACAGTGCCCTGGCATCACAGCTCACAGCAACCTCTAACTCCTGGGCTCAAGCGAGTCTCCTGCCTCAGCCTCCCAAGTAGCTGGGACTACAGGCGCCT